ATATTACATTAATTGGAGACCATCTAATATAAATTATGAAAAAACTTAGATAATGAGAAGTTTTTTTATATGTTCTAAAACTTTTTGAATTAATAATTATTTAATTATTTTATTATTTTATTTCACTAAATAGCCCATTATAATATCAATTTTCAAATCTTGCCCGAGTCCCATCAATAATACTAATCAAGCATTTGCCGTTGACTCTCGAGTAGCCTATCTATAGATTTGCCATTTAATCTGTTTATATTAGGCCTATCTCGTCTGGCTGAGCATCTTTGCTATGCTGAAGGCGAACAAATATCTAGGCTTACGTTGAAGAGGGTTTCATGCTCTGGTTAACCTGCGATAACATCAGCGCTGTCAACTGCCCGTTGCCAGAGCTGCGAAACCCTTTCTCGCAAAGCTCTCGGATAGCGGATAGCGAATATGCGGGCTAACGGGTCAGGGGTCGGGGAGCATTCCATTAAATTTGTCAGGACATAAAAATAAATTACATTTGGAGTTTTTGAACTTTTTGCTTTTCGGCTCTTTAGCGGGATTTGCTTTTTGAGCTCTTGATTCGCTGCGTTCACCTACGCATCCCGACAGTTTGTCCCCCTTTTTTTTTGTGTGTGTGTGTGTGTGTGGACATATAATTTGGTTCGCAGAAACTTTAATTAGATCACTTGAATGACAAACATAAATCTCTAGCCGCAATAATAAAAGCAGTGGAAACAAATTGAGATTGAGAGACCAAACCCGAAACCCGAAACCTGTTTCGACATGTGGGTGGCCCTGGGCGGCTGTAGATGGGTTTGGGCTAGATGTACGCTTGAAAAGCTCTCGAAGAAAACTTTTACAAACTAGTGAAAAATGCTCAAGCCTCGAATGAAAATGGAAATGAGTTGAGCTGACGTTTCTATGGCAGCCTCCTCCATGCAGGAGGTGCGCACTGGGTCGTGTGGTGTGGGGCGCGACAAGTTGACATTCGAGTGTGGGCAAATGTTTGTAGCGGTTGAAAAGCTCCGGGGTTAACAATGACGTCATAGCTGTCTATGTGTGTGTGTGTGCAAACTATTTTGGCGTACGCATTTCGTCATAAACGAGAATAATCAATAAGCCAGGCAGACAGAATGACGCAGCCAACGTGACATAATTCCAATACAGGAGCACCAACAGCAACAGCAGCAGCAGCCGCTGGAGCCACCGCTGATAAGGCGTGGGTCAGTTCGTGTTGGGTCGGGTTCACGTTGTAGCTGAGACGTAAACAGGCCCCAAAACATGAAATTCAATTAGAAAACTTTTTGGCACGGCTAACAAGTATGTCGATGGTGCAGGCTCTGACGGCAGTAGAGCAGCCAGCGCGTCAGCCTTCAAGCGGACACACCACCCGCAAGCCGCCCCTCCCAGTCCAGCTCTAGCACGTGTACGCTCGTCAACACCTTGGAGCCAACCTTCGTCCAGCCTAAAGCCAATATGTATATATATATACATATATATGTATTTCTTTTTTGCCTAATATGCTGCCCGCTGTGTCAGTGTGCGAAATGCAACAACGTGTCGTTCACACTCACACTTTCAACAAAGTAACACGCTCTCTCTATCTCCCACACACACACACACACGCACACTCTCTCACTCTGTCTGTCTCGCTCTGACTTTTTTGGGCGCAGCTTCCAATTGGGAGGCGTGCTGTGCGCTGCCTACCTGGCGAACTTCAGTTTCGCTGTTTGCGCTGCTTTGCTTTGCCTTCGATATTCGCCTGGCTGTCAAAGCGTTCTTTTGACGTTTCGCCATGTGTTGAGTTTTGCGCGTGGGAGACGCAGACAGAAGAGAGAGAGTGAGAGTGACTTTCAGCCTCTCTCTGAGTGTGTGTCTCTGTGTGTGCGTGTGCGTGCGTGTGTAAAGAGAGCCGCTGAGAGAGCTTTCACCACAGCTGTTGTCTGCCTGGTTCGTTCTTTACCTGGCCTAGCGCCTGCTTCCTTTTCGGACTATTGAGTGAGATTTGTGCAGGGCGCCAGTTTTGGGTGTGAGAGTGGGTGTGGTAGCTCCTTGTTATTGCTGTTGCTGGTGCTGCTGCTGCTGTTTGGCTTGGCTTGCGTGCTGTTTACTGTGTTAGCTTTTTATAGGGCACTAAAAAAAATAGTAGATCACCTTGATAAGCAATTAAACATGAAGCACTTTGTGCAGATAATGCATTTAGTTACTATAAATAAATGCTCCCTCG